CCCAGCCTCAGTCAATCTCCTGGCTGCACGCGGCCCAGCCGGGCCTTTGTGACAAGGTTCGCCCTCCAGCTTGTTCTATGTTGCTAGTGGGAACGACATGGAATAAGGACGTGATTCACATCCAGAGTGGGAACAACACATCAGCCTTAATCAAATCGGTGGCCTGGTGTCAACACAATTTGCAAATCGGATTAAATGTAAGTGGGGATGGGCTCTAGGAGAATTTGAACACAGCAAATATGAGATCCTGACTCGGATCCCTCCAGTCCTCCTTTTCCTTTCATACACGATTGAGTCTATCCATCTTCATTCATCGTTCGAGCAACCTCCATCAGGTAATTATCGCCTTCTGTTTCCTATCCAAGCTAACTACTTTACTCCTGAGTTCTTGTGTGCATGAGTATATGTTTGAGTGTCTTTGTATGTTTAAATACCCAAATAAATCACAAAATTAATTGAGAAAGCTTTGTCTCTAGCAGTCTACTCCCCAGCCACCTCTGTAAACATAGGATAAAAGATCCCATTGGATCCTTGAACTTTTAGCAATTCCCCAGGTTCAGGTTCCTCTTACAAACTCTACAGAAAGCTTTGCTAGTGCTTTCTGTTCATTGTGCCAGTTGTTCCAGTAGGATTTTGGGAGCAGCTGTGACTCCACTGGAACAAAAAAAACCTCATACCTCTTACATTTTAATTTTTTTATTTATTGCACTTATATCCTTCCAGTCTTTCTCCCAAAATGGGTGGTTTACATGCACCCAAATCCCCCCATTATTTATTTTTCTCTCGCTAGAGTCATACTTACAAATCAATTTTTAAAAATTGTTTTGTAACCCTGATGACTAACATTTGGTCCTTTGATGTTTTTGCATGATCATTTTTTTTTATTTATTTTTTTGCATTTTCCTTTTGTCAGTGGATTGTGGATTTCTTCCTCGGGTCAGTCTGGTGAAGCCTTGGAGGAGAATAGTGATTCAAATCAAATAAGAATAAGCAAAGTTCTCATTAGCCAGAAGAAAACCAGAAATAAATCTAGCCTCCCTAAAAAAGCAGGTTTTAATCCTTTCTAATTATTCCATAACCCCAAGGAAACTGCCCCATGAGAGGAGTTGAAATAATCCTTGAATAAGAAGAAAGGGGTAGAAAAATGTAAGCAGACTGAGTCAGTAACATGGGGAGAGTGAAGGGTAAAGGGAGGCACACAGGAGAGAGGCATGCTTCTGCTTTCATTGAATTGCTCAACTGTAATTTCTCACCAGCTGAACGAAAGCAGATCACCTTTCACCACACAGCCACAGCAGAACATGCAGACAGATTTCTAAGCTCCAGATAATTCAATTTCATAAATGTTTTTTTCAACACCTTGATTATTAGGTGGGCAGCAAATGCTTGAGATTAAATTTCACTGAAGGATGCTGGGATCAGATCATTCTGTAGAAAGACGAGGATAAAATACCAACAATGCTATATGAATACCAAATGTGTCCTCTATGTGCTTATTCTTGTGTCACCAAACTGGCACTATTTCTTTACGAAAAAGCTGGAAGTATACAGCATGTTCAGAAGAACCAAAAGACTTTCAGATATATTTAAAGCGATAAATTATATTTAATAATGCAGTTTGACACCACTTTAAGTGCTGTAGCTCCATCCTATGGAATCGTGTGCTGTGTAATTTTACACTCTTTAGCCTTCTCTGCCAAAAAGTGTTAGTGCCTCTCAAAACTACAAATCACAGGATTCTGAAAAATGGAGCCATGCCAGTTAAAGTGGTCCCAAACTGCCTTGGTTCTACACTGTAGACACACTCAGAGAGAAACAGAAAGAGGACCCTATCCCAAATATCCCAGTGATAGAGGAATGGACTGAGCTCCCGTGCTGCCTGAAACAGGAAGCAAAGTGATGCCACTGCCAAAAGCATAAGGCCATCTACACCTTCATTGTGCTATAGCTCCCCTCATCTCCAGAGGTCAGGAGGGCTTGGGATATTTCTGAAATACTAGTCTCTGAAGATTCCTCGTGTATAATGGGAAGACCAGGTCACCTTGCCTATAATGCTTGCTTGGCTCTTCAGGTAAGAGATAACTGGTTCTGGCACAGTAGTGGCTCAGCTCCCCAGAGTGCCAAGGGTCCTACATGGATTCTGTGTGAAATGTATTTGCCACTTCTGGAGCTGATTGGTTCCTCATACTGCACTATTTTGTGACTGGTTTTAGGAGTTTAGTTGGTTTGTGGTTTAGGAGCCTGGAGGCTCTCAAGATTCTTGCCTGTACTGTGGAGCTAATTCTGCCTACTTGTTTCTCCCTAATCCTCAAAGTCATCATTGAGATGATTAATCCTATTTGGCCAAAGCTAGATGCAGACGCCAGTGCTGAACTTATTAGCATCTAGGCCACAGGGTAGCACAAAACTGGGCATTTTTAAGCTGAATGCAGTCAATGGATTTTAGCCCACGTGTGTTTGATTATGACCATCATATTTTATCATTGTTTAAAACATTATCTACGATTTCTCTTGCCATCCTAAAACCTTTGAAATTCCAAAAACACACATTCCTCTCGAACAATGCACATCTAGCATCTCCCTAGTATACATGAAAGAAGCAGGTGCTTCACTGTTCATTTATGGCACTAAAGTGAATGCTGTAATTATTCTATTTTTCCAGCATTCTTTTGTAGACCATCCTGGCCCCAAGTTCAAAATCACAGAGGTTTGGTTTTTTATTAGATTTCAACCCAATTTTATTGCTGTCCATTTCTGGTGTGTGTGTGTGTGTGCGTGGGGATTGTCCAGTTTGTGGTTTAGACACGATCAGACACGAATTACCCAAGGGGAAGGAGGGGCTACTGAAAACCAAGAAATCCAATTGTCTGCTTAATGAATAACAGACTTACTGTGAAGCTCAATTGTGGAAATCTTTCCCCTGACCTTATAATCTTGTCTATGTCAATGCTGCTATGTATAGATCACTTTAGGTCTTTATTCTAGAGTAAACACAGGGGGCTTTGCTCTGGAAAATTGAGAGGGGCTGTCATTCTGACTCTGGCACTGAAACCGTCCCCTGGCCCACATCACAATCATCCTCTGTGAAGAGAAATAGAGAGAAATTTAGGGGCATTTGATGGCACAATGGATTTTGGGTGAGTTCCTACATCTTTTCAGCAGATTGTAAATACCTGCTGGTGGTTATGCTACACTAAGCTGCCTCTATACTGAATACCACTGTAGTACAACATATAATTATATTTCTCCATGCCTCCGTCATCAGCCTTGTCTTCTGATAGTGTCTCTCTTCTCAATGACTGTCTTAAGGCAGTAATGGACTAAATCCAGAAAAAACGGAGGTACTTGCAGTAACGGCCCTGAAATCAGGAATTGAGATACAACCTCCAGTCCTGGATGGGATCACACTTTCCACTAAGGACTGTGTTTGCAGTCTGGGGGTACTCCTAGACCCGTCGGTCCAGATGAATAATCAGATAAATGCAACAGTCAGGAGTGCCTGTTATCAGCTTCGGCTGATATGCCAGCTGCACCCTTTCCTGGAAGTAAGGGACTTGGAAACTGTAGTATACACACTGGTAACCTCCCATCTTGATTTCTGTAATGCGCTCTACATGTGGCTA